AATGATAACCGACAAAGAGCACTGTACAGCTGTTTCGTTCAGTTTGGGACTCGTCAGAAGTGAGCAGGGGGGAGAAGGAAGAGTTTGATGTCCCGACCCAACTTTTACGGTTCGAGTCCTGTCAGGAACACACAATTACGCACTGCTGACGAGTCCCGAACAGGACGAAACAGCGATTCAGTGCTCTTTGTCAGTTATCACAAACATTTCCATCGCGTTTGAGTGATTATTTCCGCCCAATCATGCAGCCGATAGCTTTTTCCTCAAACTGTGCTCATGGTTTCTGTTTGCTCAACCATTAGTTATCCGTCGAGCAATTTGACTCCATCGGTGCCTATCTGTGCCAGACTGAAACGAAGTCTGTTTCATGTATACCAGCGCAGGCAGGATCGCCACACGCGAACAGTGATTTCGTGTCTGAATATGTCAAGAGAAATGTACCCGCGCGCGGACAAAACGATTTGGAGGACAATTTTTGTATACTAAAAGAAATCAATATATCGCAATACTGTACTATGAATGTCCCGGACGATTTTAGTGCATCTGAACATGGTACCCCAATTGCAGTATTGCAATGGGGTCTTTTCTTTTGCATTTTGCCTCTAGAAAGGTTTGCTTCAATCTTCATATCTCTCAAGAGGAAGGCGCGCATGTAATTTTCATTCCGCACGGAAAAAAACTCGTGAACATCACAGTTTATTGTCAGGGCGTTTTTTATTCAACTTGCTTTAGTTCGCCAAGTGATTGTGCTTCAGTTGGTTCCGTCACACTTAACTAATCAGACAATTGTGGTTACACGAATGCCAAAGTTTGAGAGAGACAGAGAAAGATAACTCCTGTGCACCCCAAGTGCGATTCTCAGCCATTTCACTATTAGAAGTGGTACCCACACCTAAATGAGAAACGGTAGATGGTATAACACCCAAACTATTTCCAACATGTCAACGTTACTTAAAAGATAATCGTGGTTGCTTCCTTGTTCGCTATATCCAGAAGGACTCAAACCATCAAAAATTGAACCAATAAGTTAAGCAAACGACTTTATGTATTTATAGTTTGTTTTTTTATTTTTGAAGAAAGCAACTCTAATTTTCGGATACTAGGTACCGACCATCGTTTTAAAATATTCAGATCATCTGCTGAATCTTACCGAAGACAAACATAATGGGAGAAATTCCAATCCTACACTCATCGCAAAAGTATCTATAATATGAAACAAAATTATCAAATATCGAAACAATTAAGATAATTAGTTGAGTTTGATGGTAAGTGTGCGGTTGCGCATAATTGGTAATAATCAAGGTAGTCCAAGGTTGAAGGTCATTCGCTTTTGGACACAATAGATGAGTTTGCTGTGATTGGTCGATAATTTCTTGAGTATCTATTTTCATTGACCTTCTTCGGCTGAAACCAATCAGGTGGAACCTCACACAGACACAACGAACATACCATAAATCTCGACTGGATTTCCTAACTTATTTCGTATTTGATTATCTTGTTTACTATTATACGTACACGATCGATGACGGTATACACAGTGTTTACATTCTAATTTGCCTGTCAGTGGTTTTATCGTGTATTTTAGTACAAGTGTCACTCCCCTTGAAATCACTAAATTCCACATTCTGGTGATTTTTGTTTTCCGCAAACCACGTAAGAAACAACGATATCCCACCTGGTGCCTGTATCCGGTGGAAATCGAATTCATGCTGTGATATTTCGAATGTATTCGGTAAATTAGCAATTCCACGTGAATAGTTATTCGAATCTAATTTTAGCATCTAAGCATCTCTCCATTTGATGCAGTAGTACCCATGAGAAAACTTGCTGGGGTTTAAAAAATCATTGTTGTGGCAAGCCTTTGGTTAACACTGTCGTTGCTGACCGGTATTTTCCTTCAGTTATTAATTCCTCTCTATCTATTTAATCATCCGGGACGTGTTTTCCTCGATCAATCTGAAGCGCTCGTTCGTATATCGCGCTGAAAATCAACTGTATTCATTCTGGCATATTCGGACAAAACAAATACGAGAGTGTTGATATTTCTCAAAGCCTATGTCTCATAAAATTTGCATCAAAGTAAAATTCAACCAAGGCCCCTTTCCTGGTTGGGCTGTGTGGGATGTGGGAGAGAGGAGGGGAGTGAATTGCGACCTGGGAAGTATCGTACTTCGTTGAGTACTTCAACGGAGTCATTTCAAGTACTCTCTAGTGGAGAGTAACAACAAAAACAGAAGAGTTGTGGGCGTTGGATAAGATAGATCTCAATCCGTTCCCCGGCAGATGCAAAAGGACACACTACGGAGCATAGTAAAGAGATACAATACAGTCCCTTTGCCGGCGATTTGTTCGTGTGAAGTTCCTATGACAATGAACTCATTGTTTGTTTTCCAGAAAATCCCATCCAACAAAAATAATTCTTTGTTTTGCAAAACGCAACGCTTTTTTGGCGGGGAGTGTTTGTTTTTCATAGTGGAAAGTTTTATTTTAAATAAATTTATCCCGTGCACGATGCGCGAAACAAAAGGCATTGTTACGGATAGATAAATGTGACGCTGTGAGCTGCGCACACTCCCCATGGACGGGGAATACAAACAGAAATGCTGAATACATTTGAACTGGATCGGCGAAACTGAGACAAGTTCACATGTAGTTGTGTGGTTTTTTCGATATATACTAACCAATAAAGCAGTAGGCTAAAAACTATGCATATTTAAATGTTCCTAGTGCACCCGGGTACTAAATGTGACACTGGAAATCAAAACTGTAATTGGTTGTTATGTTGTGAGTAGTTATTACCAAATACTTACATTCACCGGGGATAAAATGCAAGAATCATCCGCACTTCGACGATGATCGACTGTTCGTTATATATTACGATAAAAGCATTCAATCACTGTGTAACTCGAGATCGCATGTTTGCAAACATACACACACAGGACGTGCGACCAAAACCTCAAATAGGTCCGCGAGGCCTTGAAGAGCATACTCACTCACTCACCTTGCAAACAGACCTCCTCCATTTCCGGTTGATTGATAGTGTACCGTTGGCACACCGGGTTGTAGTATTCCTGACAGCTGGGATTGGAATAACAACTGACCCCGCAACACTTGTGATCTGCACAAATTTCGCATGTGTATAAAGGCATGGGGACAGAAAAGATGGGTGTGTCAGTTTGTAAACTGTGCATCATAAAGTAAAACAAGGATCGGGGGTGCTAGGAAGAATTTTCGGGTGTGTACCTGTCTGCATGTGGTTCCATTTGTTGCAAGATGGAAGATGACTTACTCTTCACGTTGCTTAGAGCAAAAAAGCAGGCAATTATTCGGACGAATTCAGGATGACGAATAACCATAGCTTAACGAGAAGGAGAAAACAGTCGTTCCCCATGTTTAACACTATCTGGTTGGGTACATTTGTTTACGCAATCAAATTCCAGTTCTGATCTGGCTTCGATTATTCTTTATAAATCTTCAGGTTACTTTTGACGGTAAATGAAGCGAACTGCCTCGTGATAGATCACTTTAATCACCGGTAAGGGGCTAACTTTCGATGATGGAGAAAATCCTCAGCTTCGTTAATTTACATAAAGTTGAGCAAACCACTTTCAATTCGAAAAAAAACAAATAAATCAATTTGATCATTGACACATGTTGGCAATGTTCAGAGAGAAATTTTCTTCTCCTTATGAACATTTTTTATTTCCTTTGGGGAGAAAGGATGTATGTCAAAAAATTAACATTGATAGACCATTTAATTTTTGTCGGTGATAGGAGCTTTTCTTCAGAAATGTGTTCTCTCTATATCCCTTACTTCAACCCCGTGATTTTGTGTGGTTTACTGAAGGCCAATTTCTAGCTGCTTAGGAGCGGTTTTCAACGATCAGCGGTGTTTTTAGATTCCGTTATTCATCCGGATTGACAATATCTGTGACGCTCATATTGATGCGCGCTTGAAGTTTATCAAGAGTATTCTATCTAACTGCACCCATACTTTACATTTTGATAAGTGTGCACGCCAATCCCACCCACCCCCGGAAAACATAAAGCAGGGTTATAACACATATATCAATTTTTTCTGATCCTGTACTTTATATTATGAAAAATAAGGATAAACATTTTAGTGGATCATCGTCACGAACAATAGATGAACTCATAGGTTATCGCGGTTTATTCTCGCAAATGGAATTATCAATCGAGTTAGTCTTTCAGTGATTGGCTACATAAACGTTTATCATTTCGCCACAAGTATTGATTCTGATTGGGATCCGTAAGACCTCACTGATAGTTCGGGGAAGCGTGGCTAGAGCAAATGCGCCTCAAATCGCGGTTTGTCATCCCGGAATTCAATTATTATTGATTCCCACGTGACTTGCTGCGCAGCGGTTCATTGACTATAGCGATTGAAGCTAGATTGGGTGCAACTTCACTGTGGTACTTACTCAACTACATTATGACCCAAATTTGCAAACGAAAGGAATTTTTCCACCATCTGATGCTTTGCACCTTGTGCAAAGGATGAAGGTCATTGAAGTAATATAATAAGCCTAAAACTCTTGGCAATAGCTTTCTGGGACATGATAAGCAAACTATGCACCTGATCCCTTGCAGCATTAGTGTTATAAATTCACAAAACAGAGCTGGCTTGAAGAGAATTATTTGTTTGAGGAACAGTATAGGACTGCGGTAAAAAGGATTACGGACAACACTGAATAAAATATCTAATTTGCAACAGTTGATCAGTATTTTTGTGATCGTTTTCTATCGGTGATCATCAGTCTGGCAATCTCTTTATCTCTTCAGTAGTTGCAAAATTACTCTTTTAATTCATCAGCGGATGCCGTGGGAATTCAACAACTGTTTTTCGGTGTTCGCAAATTACTCAAAAGTGTGAGTAGTAGCACACAGTGCTAGTATATTTGGTAGGAACACAACCAATAATCATTTGGGAAAATGAGTGAATATAATTATCTATCTAATCAGATGCAGTAATATGATGGCAATTCGAAAAATAAAGTGTTGTTGTAGACAGGGCTTAGTGGCCTTATATTCAGTTGCTTCCCGAGCTTGACAATTAAAGGACGATAGTTGCACCACCAGCCAAGATTAAATTTTGATTTGGGGATTTCAAAAAAAGGGAAACGTTTTTCGAATTTAAATAACTTGTTCTTCATCTGTTTTGTAAAATAGAACAAAAGAATCAAACAAACTCGGGAATCCCAGGAATTTTCGAGCATCGAAAAATTAGGGGATATTTGAAACAAACGAACAGATATAAACTGTGTTGTGCGTAGGTCTAGAACAAATGGGATTTATAGGAAGTGTAAAGTAAATGATAGAGAGAATATGGGTGGGACCTATGACAGCGTAAACAGGAAATCTGATTCCTCGACTTTTTTGTCTGATGGGACCCGCAAAAGATGTTCTTGGAAACGAAACTAGAGCGGTATGTTCGGAAGGGCAAAAAGAAACACTGTCCCCGGTAGCAACGTTGCGACAAACAAAATTCAGTTGACAGGAAAGATTCAACGCATTTATTCATCTACGGTTGTTCTCTGGTTAGTTTTTCACTGAACAGGTGGTATGAATTCATCAGGGAGAATAGCAAGTTTGCAGTAGTGAAGTGAGAAAGCAACGCAATGGATGAAGGAGGTCGCGCCAATTGGGGAGATGCCGAATTGATGAATCTCTTTTCATTCTAATAGAAAAATTGAGATTTCTGACGACAAAACAACTTTAGGGGGGGATAATATAAGCAGCCTTATTAAATGTGTGAATTAGGAAGCTATTCTACGTAGAAAATGTTTTGCGAAAGCCCAGTCGTCAATCTTCTATCGTCTCAGCACGAACGTCTGGACACAATTTCCGACACGTTCGATCGTATGTTGTTCCTGTTTTACATATTCGTGATTTTCCGATGAACCTATCATCAGTGTGTGTGTGTGTGCGCGCGGTAGGGGGATAGTTCAGTGATGCTACAATCCTGGGTGTTTAAAAATAATACTGTTCTGAAAACATGTGCTGGCAGAACACAACCCTGTTTAAACGGCCACTTAACTCCGGTCTATAACATCATCCTCATAAAACTGCTTTTTGAGGGCTAGAAAAAAATGTCAAAATGTTGGGGGCATTTGAACACACATTCGTACAACGCAAAAACATTTCCACAGGGCAACTGGAATATTTTTCACTTAGTTTAGCGCGCGCGCACACACACACCTTTGGCGTGGCCACATCATTAATGAAGTTAATCCGTGTTTTTGAAGTAATTTTTCAATCGTGACTATTTTGATTACATACAGACAAGATGTAAGTGTCAAAAACGTGACACTTGTTTTCTCAATGAACATTACAACTCTCGTAACACGAGTTAAATGTGAGACAAGGATAGAGGGTAGTGTGATCGGAACCAGATTCAACTATACAGGTACCTAGGGATACAGCCACAGGTTCACGCAAGTACACACACACACACAGGTAAGCGGACAGGCATTTCGAGGGGGAAAAATTGGAGTGAAATAGATGAACTTGCAAACAAGCGGAGCGCCGAGGATGAACGAATCTGACGCTTATCGTAAATCGCACATAACAGCTGTCTGCCCTGGGTTGTGGTTTGAGTAATTCATCCAGTTGGTGGTAGTTGGGATTCGTTCGGGGCTGGAATTCATGGAGCTTTTCCAAAGTCAAGTCACACATTGGGATAAAGGACCCTAAGTGTGCGACCACACAAATTTATTTTGATAACTCTTTGGTGGTGGCCGGGTGCTTAGGTCACCAACTAGTGACCTGGGAGTCCCGAGTTCCAGTGGCCCCACCGCCACCCGTCTTCCCCCGTTTCTGTATTTTCCCGTGCAACCGCGATCCCCTGACTGAATATTGGCTGTGCATTTGTACATTCAATAAATAAAAAAGGAAGTGAAAACACATTTATTTATTTTATTTATTCAAATGCGTGTGAACATCTTGAAAGTTGGAAATTACTATCGCATTGCGCACCATACTACATACAAAGAAGCTTAGTTTTTCTCGGTGCTAGTTGCAACTGGAAACGTTCAGTCAATCTACGTTTTATGCGTTTTGTGGATAACAAGATTGATTACAATCAGACAGATTAGCAACTGGCTGGATGGTGTGGTTTATATTCACGTAAGTAATCCGATCATATGGAAGATCGGATAAATGATTCTGCGAAACCTTAGTTGTTAAAAGATTTCAGTGAAACAAGATAGACCCAGTTTTTATTTTCTTTTATATGATAAAACTCGAGTGACCTACATAGTGATCGAGTCAGGAAGTCAGTCTTCATTACATCCCGATATTATGTTGTACACTAGTGACTTGTTCTAGCAAATATGACAATATGCGCATTGTTACATGCGGAAAAAAATTATCATACAAACAAATGAAAACGTAAATAAAATCTATTTAGACAAATAATGAGTTCGCATGCGAACATTCTCTTGTTTAATAGAATGCAAGCCATATAGGTTACGGCTGAATTAAACGAAATTTTTATGCAAGATTATAAGCAGCGAAAACTGGATATGGTATATGGTATGCTTACTAAAGGTAAATAGTTCGTGATTGATTGAATCACTAAGGTCGTTAAGAATATTATGGGCAAAATTCTAACGTGAAGCTATATGCAGAGTTTATTGTAAACATGGTTAGTAATTGCCACCCAGCAGTTTAGAACTTTAAAGCCCTTTTTGATTAGGTCACAGAAGATCACAATAGATTAGTAACGTATAACAGGAGGTGTGCACTGATAAATAAAAGAATGTCTAGTTAGATGCTTCATTCTGAATTGTCGCAGCTTGCACATCTGGAGCCATAAGCAACTTAGTTTACTAACGCCGATTTGCATGTGGGAGGATCATCGTGGATCGCACTGTTTAGGTATTTGATAGCATGTATACTGGTAATGGTTATGGTTGGAGAGTTGAAAATTAAGGGCTCCATTTGATTCGCAGATTGAGAGAGGGAGAGAGAGTACCACTTCTTCAGAGCATTCAGGCTTAAAAACTGATGTGTTTGTAAACAATTGTGCTAAACTGTCACAAAATAATAGTTTATCTGACTGGTTTGAGATGGATGGACATAGAATGAACCCCACCAGTATACTTACTGATGGAAGAACAATTGATAATTTGGCGCAAAATGTTGAGATTAGGCATGGAGAAAGCACAGTACCCTGCAGCGCTCCCAAATCATCCAGTAAGGGTTTCGAAACAGTTCTCCTGGCCTTGGTTATGTGAAATCTTCCTATGAAGCAGCTTTTTAACTCGGATAACAAAGTGATGAAACAATCAAATGATCGTGATCTTCAGAGAAAACTGGATCGTTGAAAGAAATCGAAAATCGAGGAACAATAATGAAGGACCGGTCAATAAAAGCAACTATCCAGAGATGTAGGGTGAAGAGAATGTCTTAATTTTGCCCTTTGGTGACGGACCGTAAGCGTTTAGATGGAACGTCAGAGGAGGTGGATTTATAAATGAAAATCACGGTGAGCGGTGTCCAGAAGCAAAGAACGGCACAAGTATGCATATGTTTATTATTATGGGACGTCAGAATTACTGTCAGTGTATCAGCGTTGTATTTAATCATAGATGGAGAAATACCTGAGACCAAGAACATGCCATTTTAAACTCTGAAAGCTTCTTATCGAAATCATTATAAAACGAAGCCACGTTCGAGTTTTATTGTTTTCTAATCGAAAGCAGAATGGTCTATTCCGAGAATAACGCACAAAAGTGTGTAGAATTTCCGGCTGAAGTGAGCGGAAATACACCCAGTTGTACTCATATCGATATACGAGACCGGGATAAAACTATAGAACTCTGTTATGCGCTAGCATGTTGATATCGCGTTCGAATTGTTTTGCTCATAGCTCATGTTGACTGAATTCGTTTTGCCTTTGTTCGCTGAGGAGAGATAGTTTATATACTATTTATTTATTGACATCAACCAATTATTAATTTTCCGTTAATAAACGAATAATCTATAGCATGGAGTTAGCTCTTTGCAACCGGATACCTTTGTTGAGTTTAAAGTGAGCAGTCTTCGACCTCATATTCTCTACTTCTGGGATAAAACACACACACATGCTTTATGATGTAACAGAATCTCATACAATCGTTGTTTCAATATATACTGCATCAGTAGTCTCCGTAATAAGGTCACTTTCCCGGCGTGTAAATTGCCTTCACTTAATCCGCGAGATACTGTTATCAATGAAAGCAAGTACATTCGGACTATTAGAGGGAATTATGCACTATTATCTACCGAAAGTCTTTGCACGGTTCGACAATTCTACTGGGATTGATTTCAGAGGTTCATGTTATAGAAAAACCCTTCAACGGTTCCAGCAGAGTGTTTTTATAGCTTCCTCGACGCATTTGACGACATTCAAATTGTTGTTAGTGGAATAAACAAGTCATTCTTATTTCTTACTGGTGTTTTCCTTGCTTTGCAGCACATCAAGAATTCCGTAAGTTATCTGGATTCACCAGATACAATCGGTGTTGTGTCTGGTCGCTTGGGACCTGGAGTTCTGTTTCTGGCGCTCATGCGGGCAGGAGAGAACCACTACGCAATCCCAATGTCAAAGGAACGTATGCTTTCCGAAAGGCGATAGAGAATATCACAATAGTTGGTACCGGGGCGGGAGATTACCAAGAAAACGAGTAGACTTGATACACAAGTCACATAGGATTTATGCATGGAAGCAAAGCAGAGTATAATACTGATGAGGAAAGCAATAACAGATAGCAGGTAAATTATTGATACTAAACGCTACTGACGAAGGACTGATTTGTAAAAACGAGATATTGCACAAATATGGAACTCTTGATTGAAGGAAAACTTAGGCAAAATGGTGAACTTAGATTAGCCGTTATAGGAAAAGTTTCCTTTTTCACAGTGCAACTGAATTGTGACGTAGTCTGCGAAGAATCATCGTACAGTTGCTTCGACGTTGTTGGATCTAAGAACCAGCGGTAAGAATCCATCGACTTAGAGGAAGACCGAACCCAAGATCTCAGATGTAGAACGCTAGAACACTACCCACGTGACTACCGATCAGAGTTCCGATCCTGGTGGTTTCGGTAGATAAGAATTGCTAATGATGCCCAACAAGAGTAAAACGGCGGCTGCAAACGCTGTTCTTGTGACTAGTAACAATTTGACTTTGCTTGACAACTATCCGAAAAGCGTCTACTGAACAACCAAAATACCCACACACGCGATAACAATGTCTACCTCTGCACGCCATCTGATCTACCAATTTCAATATGGATACGAAGCAACCTATGTGGCCAGAACAGAGCAACAATTAAATAACTGCGTGGTGGAAAATATTTCAGACTGAGTCCAAAACCAGATGACGCAATGACGGTAAAGAAACGACGGTTCGAACCATGAGACCCCACCATCAGCCATAGCTTGACATCTTCTGATGACTCAAAATCAAGTCGACCGAAGCACGGCATTTCGGATCGTCTAGAAGCCAAAAACCGTAAGATTGTTGAAGCGATCGATTCAGTCGATGCAAGACCTTCTGTCTCTCAACATTTATGTTGTCCGTATCATGGTGACATGGTTCTCCCTTTAACCCCCATCCTGCATTTTATGTTTGTCTATTGTGTTGTATTTAATTCTACTTTGTTGCTATGACAAAGAATCATATAGAAATTGCCCATTCTCTTGAAATACACCATCGTAAACAAACGAAATGTTCCACCCCATTCCGCATATTCAGAATATGATGAATGCCGGATACGAGAATAATTATGCTGTTCACAAATTTCTGAATTCATCCGATAGAGATACCCATGCAGCGTGACATATGTGTCTTATGTATGGAAAGCAGCTGCACAAAAACTGTCTATTTAATCAGTTTGTATTGTCGCTATTTAAAATCTGCCATCTGTGTATGATTTATTCAGAAAGGAAGGTTGGTGACACTGAATTACAGACCGTAGGCCTTCGGTTCCCGATTTTAGTCTCCCCAAAAAAACGAAATCGCAATATCAGTAACAAAATTGAAGTTTCTTAAAAGCAATACGCTGTTGTTATAACCGGCAGCTGTTTGTCTCTTTGATGGGGTCTCATAGGCAAAGACTGCAGTGAGTGCCGGAATCCACCTCGTGAACTTCCAGGTTACAAACCCCAAACTTATCTCCCAGAGAGAAGGTCACTGGTCCATTCGATTGATGTTGTACCACAAAGTGGATAACTCTAATTCTTTGATTTACTTTTTTGATCATTCGCACGATCAAATATATCGTCAAGTCACAAATTAACTAATATGGACGGGATTTTCAAATCGAATACGGTAAGGTTATATTCAATCTTAACAGAGGCTCCGTATCGCAAATGGGCTTATTAGACAAAAACAACACCACTTTTACACAAGGTCCATCGAGCTAATTTCATATGGACAACAATTATGTACTATGCCAGATTACTGTATTTCTTTTTATGTCATATGTATGCCAGTATATGACAAAATAAAGTTGAATGGAGAGCAATCGGCTGTTCAATATGACTGAAGAATGAACCAAACTGAAAGAGAATCTGTTTCAGCTCATTCATCATCCGATTACATCATGAAGCAACCTGGTGCCAGCAATAATGACAAACGTATCGCATCACTGAACCAAACATACCTTGTTCTTTGGCCAATCGGAGAGCATCATCTCGCATCCAGTCCCATGATTGTGTTAAATCCTCAGCCAGCTCGTTTCCAGCATTTCGACGCTGTGCCTCGGTCCAACACGATCGTCGCAGACACGTCTGACACATGCGCCTTTGTGTGTCACAGTGTGCATCTTTCAGATAAGATTGACGCTCCGTGAT